TATCTCTTAGGATAATTTGCTCCGAAGCATCTGCAACTACAGAGATCAGTGAGGGCCGGTTTTAAGGTCACATATTTTATATTCTTAACAAGCAGTAAATGAGCTTTAATGCCCAAATTAACCCACTTACTTTATTACTGTTAGGCAGTCAGGCCGTATATACAGTAATGAATATGCCTTTTTTATCTAATGAATGCTGCAGAAAGAGTTAAAAACCCTGTGCTGGCAGCACTAGTAGTATCACAGCAGCCCAGCTCTCCAACACACACACCTGAACTGCTCTTCTCATGGAGTAAGTACCAGGATTCAGTGTGGTGTGTTGGACTGCAGGAGAGCTTGTGTGTGAGAGCTGTGGTCTGAAGCAAAAGGATTCTTTTGAACCTTCCTTCAGCAAAAAAAAGTAAGCAGCCTGAGTGCATTATGGTAATAAAATTGGGTTTTAATGCAAGGCCCCACCAACAAAGGCACCTATAAAGCAATGTATCCCTAAAGGTCTCTAGAGAAGCAGCAAAGTCATCCAAATCGGCTCCCTGAGCAGCGCACTGCTTTGTGTTTACAAAGCAGGATTAGAACATTACAAGGCTCCAAAGCTTGCAAGTTGCTGCTGGGGTTAGCAAAGTGAGTTGAGCTACTAAGAGAATGTAACATTTGAGAAACAATTACTTCAGGGCTCTTGCAGCTACAGAGGTCAGTGATTGCTTTAAGGTGTCCATACACCTTACGATTATCGGACTAAACTTTTCGTCCAATGATCGAAGCGTTGTACAATTTTCGTACGACGGCCCCATCCTGCCCCGATTATCGCAAGGTTCAATTAGCGGTAGTAAAAAAAAACACCTGGACGACTTGCGGTAATTGACCGCAATTATTTTCGTTTGCGAATGCGCAGTGTTAATCGTACGACTTTTGACGGACGGAAACGCCACCAACCATGCGAACATTGTACGATCGACCAAAGTTTTCAAACATGCTTGATCGTCAAAAGTCATACGATTGTACAGTACTATCGGTCGGGCACTCTATTCACACGTTACGATTGTCGTACGAAAAGTCGATCGCATACGATTATCGTATGATAATCGTAAGGTGTATGGGCACCTTTAGACTCCATTCAACTATCTGGTTGGATGCAGTGCATTAACTTACACATACATGTGTTGCATCAAGGCAGCATGCTTATTTAAATGGCACGCTGACACCACAATTGACCAGAAAACACATCTGCACTATTTTTCCTGACACAATGCACCACAACACATGATAGTGCATTACCATGTTTTGCAGTGTGCTGAAATACAGGTCTGTCTGAGGTGCATTCCTTTTGTGCATTGGGGTGCCATTCAAAGTGATGACATCACTACTCACAAACTCCTTACATAATTTGTTGTTGTGCATTAATGTAACGTGTGCTATTCCATAGGTGTCAGCCGAAAGCTGATTTCTACTTGTTAAGAATATGTAAATACTTGAATTTCTTTAGCCCGTCCATAGGTTCACTTTAGGGTGTCAGTTTGGGAAGCTATTATATTGAGAGTCTAATATCTTGGTGACTTCAGGAAAAAGAACTGTACTTTTGGAAACATTGCTTTGTTTACCTGCAGATTAGCTGGATTCTGAGGTGTCTGTGTGTGCTCCCCCCCCCCCCTCATCACACACACTCTTACAGTTTGAATGCATACGGTTGGCTGTTTGTGTTTAGGAACATGGCATGGCTGGCATAGATGCTTGAGAGTTGTCGTTGTGCCTGCATGTCCTCCGTCTAAGTGGATCTTAAAGTGGACTTTGCATGCAGCACAAGGTTTGCTGTTTATTGCCCTCCTTGCTAAAATTCTAGGAAAGCATTAAACACCTGTAGTGGAGGGGGGCCGAGAGGAGAACCCCGGTTGCGAACTGCCAATACCTCTGCAAACTAGCCTCACGAGTGAAACTTCCGATTGCAGAGACAAGATAACAGGTTTCCCCCAATCATGAGCCTTATGTACCTGACGTCAGCTGCGCTGCGGAGAGCGTGTAGCCAAAGCACAGATGCAACAGCGAGCCCATAAAAATGTCAGAAAACAAAAAAAATACCGGTACCAGTAAGCAGCTGTCTTACTCTGCAAAATTTAAACTGGATGTAATGAGTTATGCAAAAGACCATGGAAAATATTGATTTCTGAATTTTGGGTAAAAAAAGTGGGGGGCGTCCTATACATGGGGGCGTCTTATAGACGGAAAAATACAGTATTCCAATTTCCTTCCATTCCTGCGGTGCATGGGGTGATTTCATCCAACAAGATCCCAGGGAATGCTGCGCAATCCATATCTTGTGAGAACACACTGCAGCAATTGCAAGGTTTAGAGAAAGCTGCATTCCCCATATCTCTTTGTAAGGTGGAGGATGTCACTCTCGTGTAGGCGCCACGCGCAGAAGCAACAAAAAAGGTAAGTATACTATCTAACTTTTTTCCTTTTTACGGGTGTTTTTTATCCTTTTTACTAAAAGATTCAGCAAGTGGAAGGGGGAAGGAGAAACTTAAACAGCCGACCTTGCATTTTAAGTGCAAGGTCTGCTTTACGGGTTAAATGAAGGAACCCTTGACATTTCATGTTGGATAAAGTGGAGCATGGTAATAACCCCTGTCAGGCTTTTAATACTAAAAATAAAATGTTAGAAAGATTATGCAAAAAACAATAAATAAATAAAACGCCTATTATCAGAATTTAAAAGATCCAGCATCATTGCATTTCCCAGACTAGCGACTCCATCATCATGAAATGCAGAAGGGTTAAAGCCCCTCACTGTCTAGAAGAGGCCAAATGATGTATATCCCTCAGCCTGATATGTATGAATCAGTGCAGTACATGAGGACTGCAATCCCTCAGCACTTGGATCTCAGCCTTTCTGGAATTTCCAAGTGGAATTCAAGGAAAATATGATTCATAAGGTTCCCATACACTACACATCTGTAGTAATTTACTTGTGACAGTAGCTGAGACAGCACCATTCTGTTTTCGTTCTGTAGAATTGTGACAGGAGATGAAGGTATGAAAGACACATGGAGCTCCTACCAAGGGCACTTTATTCTCTGACTTTTGTGGAGTCATTAAGACTTAAATATGACTATTTAAAGTATGTATAGATTTTTTTTTTATTAATCAGTAACAAAAATATAAATCCAGGACATCGAAATCACAACTTGTGTGGTATAATAGAGAATGTAATTCTCTTCTGTTTTGGCAACATTTGGAAGTTGTTAAATATTTGTAGATTTTAAGTAGAATAAAGTAGATTTGATATTGTATGGCCACACATTTAATCTTTCCCCCTTACTTTCAAGCCTAGTTCACACCTAGGCGGCACCGTTTTTGCGTGTTTGTACGTGCGTGAGCAGCATGCAGTTATTTGCGTGTTTATGCACATTGTGCACATTTTTATGCACGTACATGAAGACGCACGTTTTTACTGGCAGCTCATTGACCACTGTGGGCAATGGAATAACACGCGTTTAAACGCGTAGAAACACTCACGAAAATGTGCAACATGCTTCTGCTGTGCGTTTTTGGGAATTTCCATTTAAGTCTATGGGGCAAAAATGCACTTTTAACTGCCCAATGAAGCTCATGTACCTTTTCAGGCGTTTGGCTTTTTCCTGCTAACATTTTTCTGCTCAGGCATGAACCAGGGCCATTGAAAATCATGGGATTTCTTATGTTGGGCATTTCAAAGCGCTTTTCCAACAACTCCTTGGTGTGATCCAGGCCTAAGTGACACTAAACTCAGGAGTTCAACCTTAAAAATACATTCAAGTGCCTTGAGGGCTTCTTCACACCAATTGAGGTGCGTTCCAGAGCGGTAGCTGCCGGAACGCACCACAATCGATCACAAACCTCCCCCCTGCTTTTTGGAGCAGGAGGGGGCGCGGCGGTGCATTGAAGTCAATAGAGCAAGCAGCATTTTTTGCGTTTGCAGTGGAACGGAATGCAGGCAATGTTTTGCCACGTGTCCGATCACACGGGGGGGTGGTGGATAGAACCGGTGCCATTGAATTCAATGCACTGCCACACCCCCTCCAGCCCCAGAACGCAGGGGGAAGTTTTGTGAGCGATTGAGGTGCGTTCCAGCAGCTAGCGTTCTGGAACGCAGCACAATTGGTGTGAACAAGCCCTAACTATTAACAAAAATGTATCTTATTTGTATCACTCAGCTGTAGATCCTCAAATCATCTCTGAATTGGTGCTGACACTGTCCTTCCTTCTGGAGGGTGGCTCCTTTTCTTCCCCATGGTCCCTGTGTGTGTTGTAAAGTAGCCACTACTCCAAGCTCGCTCCCATGGTGGACTATAAACTCAATACAAATTAGTAAACTAAATTGGTCAGCACCAATTCAGAGATGATTTGAGGATCTACAGCTGAGTCATACACAAATAAGCTGCAATTTTTGTTAATAGTTAAGGTACTTGAATGCATTTGTAAGATTTAACTCCTGAGTTTAGTGTTACTCACTTTAGACATGCTCTAGGAAGGCATCTGTTACCATTCAGTGGCTGATATCTTAGGACATTAGGCTGCACTAAGCATACAGCAAATGTAAAACACATTGCTAAATATCCAACTTTGGACTGGTTTAGTACTATAGAAAACATAAAAAGCTTACTAGTCCTTAAAGCAAGAGTAGAAATCATACCACATCCAAGGACATATTTTACAATAAATAACAACACAGCGAATTAATGAAAACTGGAGCACCCAGGATCTGGAACTGTTGCCCATAGTAAACCATAGGCTTTTCTCTTCAGTTTGTTCAGTTAAGCTTTGAAAATGAAAGATAGAAGCTGATTGCTTACTATTGGCAACTGCTCAAGATTTTGTCTGCTCCAGTTTTCATAAATTCCCCACAGTGTATTTTCTCCATGTTTATTAACTGTTCTCTTACATACTGCAAAGAGTTGAATAGCACTTACAATTGTTCTAGTGTGATGGGATGCCATGTATGACTGTGTCTACTTCTCTCTCTCCAGGTGCTGCCTATTGCCAGTTTATGGATATGCTCTTCGCAGGGTGCATAAGCCTAAAGAAGGTCAAATTTCAAGCCAAGCTGGAACATGAGTACATTCACAATTTCAAATTGCTTCAAGCCTCATTTAAAAGAATGAATGTTGATAAGGTAGGGCATTTCCCGACTGAAGTGCTTATTCTTGTTCTATTGCTGTCTGCGGAAAGTTTTGGGAAAACTGTCTGACCGAGCAGTGACTAAATTAGTGCATAGGGCACAGTTCCAGACCATGATCCTATCAGCATCTCCTGGGAAAATGTAAAACAGCAAAACCAAAATGGGACCCAGCTCCTTCAACAGATTATTGCTGGCCATGTTTTGGTAGGTGGGGTTCTTTAGCGGCTGTAGGGCAATGATTCCTATAATGCTCAACTGATTCAGAGTCACTCGCTGACCTTGTGCTATAAATAGCTCAAGAAGCATATGTATTTTTTAGGTTTATGGCACCAATATTTGACACATGTATGTTTGTTTTTAATCCTAGATGTTAACAAAATATCTTGTCACACATTGATCGGTCCTTTAGCTGGGAAGACAAATAAAATGTATAGGGGGAGTTTCCTTCATTAGTGTGTATCCTACTTTCTTCTACAAAAAACAAACAAACTACTGACTCATTTCCACATGTTTATATGCTGTGGTTGAGCTATTTTTCCTGCTTTTTTTTTCTAAGAGAAAAAAAAATATATACTGCTGTATTGTTGTTAATTAATTGCATTGAAATCTGCATTGTAGTAAATCCATGATGAACAGTTTTATTTAGCACTGCAGAGTCCAGGACAGATTAATCAATGATTCCGTGCATGCAACTCTTGATAATGCATACAAGTTTATTTAAAGGCAAAGATAAATGCACAAAAAGCAATAACCTACATCAGGCACTGACAGAAAAACCAGTTCAATTTATTATTACTGTGAACTAACTGAAATCACAAGTATTGGGTGATATGGGTCTTATGCTTATGGCCACCATATTGTCATCCCATTTTTTCTGTTTCACAGTTCAGGCCTAGTATATCCTCATATACACTCACGGGCCACTTTATTAGGTGCACCTTGCTAGTACCAGGTTGGACCCCCTTTTGCCTTCAGAACTGCCTTAATTCTTCGTGGCATAGATTCCCCAGCGATTTTGGTCCATATTGACATGATAGCATCACGGGCTCAAAGTGTGGCAAGAAAATATCCCCCTCACCATTACACCACCAGCCTCCATCCATGCTTCCATGTTGTCTACGCCAAATTATGACCCTACCATCTGAATGTCGCAGTTGAAATTGAAATTCATCAGACCAGGCAGCGTTTTTCCAATCTTCAATTGTCCAATTTTGGTGAACCTGTGCGAATTGTAGCCTTCGTTTCCTGTTTTAGCTGACAGGAGTACCACCTGGTGAGGTCTGCTGCTGTAGCCCATGTGATTCAAGGTTCGACGTGTTGTGCATTCATAGATGGTATTCTGCATACCTTGGATGTAACAAATGGTTATTTGAGTTACTGTTGCCTTTGTATCACCTCGAACCAGTCTGCCCATTCTCCTCTGACCTCAAACAGGCATTTTCGTCCACACAACTGCCACTCACTGGATATTTGCTCTTTTTTTTTTAGACCATTCTCTGTAAACCTGAGAGATGGTTGTTCATAAAAATCCCAGTAGATCAGCAGTTTTTGAAATACTCAGACCAGCCCGTCTGGCACCAGCAACCATGCCACGTTCAAAGTCACTTAAATCCCCTTTCTTCCCCATTCTGATGCTCGGTTTGAACTTCAGCAAGTTGTCTTCACCACGTCTAGATGCCTAAATGCATTGAGTTGCTGCCATGTGATTGGCTGATTAGCGATTTGTGTTACCAAGCAATTGAACAGGTGTACGTAATAAAGTGGGCGGTGAGTGTATATGCAGATATTTGGCTTAAAAGGCTCTTCCAGTGGTGTTACATTCATTGTAATTTACTATATGTTTTATATGCTTTACACGTTATTATTATAAATGAAATATACAATTATAATTTTAATAACCAAACTAAATTTGGACCTGATAGACTAAAGTTCAATAAGTTATATACAAAACATTGGTATTAAATCACTACTCTCAAAGTGTAGCTAAAGCCCAATTTTCCTTTTTTTGCTTTGTATAGAGTAAAAATGGGCTAGAACTACTGCCAGGTTTCTATTGCTGTCTGTGTTACCATTGGAAAGAGTCATTCTCTTTATTAGTTTTGGTTGCCACTTAAAGCTTCAATTACATTTATTTGTGCCAAAACTGATCTGGTAACGGGACCAAAGTACCAACGCACAGAGCAGAGGCTGGGGACCTACCTACCTACCATCACCTAGGGACAGATACATTAGGCACATAGATGCCTACTCAAGGCAGGTACCTATTCCTTGGCACTGGGGGGTGGTGAAGAGTTGTTTGCCTCTCATATGTTTTTTGAGACTGGTGCCCCTTTGTTGGGTACCCTTTCCAAGGCATTGCCAATGAGGCCTAAATTGGGGGGGAGGAATCATGTAAATTAGTATCAGCAGGAAATTGGCTGCACACTTGTGGTCAATGTCTGGTATTCACTGGCAACCTGGATGGACAATTTTCCTCTAACTTGACTGAAGCTCAAAATGTGATGCAGCGTTTAACCTGATTGGAACAAGGTGTACATCTCAGTAGTCTAATAGCTAGAATTCCACTTTAACAAACAAGCTTTGTGAATCAGGTGTTAAATGCACAAGGGAAAGATTTCAACTGTTAATAATGCTTGGATCAAGCACTCGTATCACATGTGATCATAATACTTGGTCAGTTTACTTTAGTACTTGATAAGTGATCGCATGGTTTAGAATTATGCCCTTTGTTTTAGATTTTCACTCTGAATTATGGAGCAGATCAGAAATAAAAATAACTTACACATGCATATAGTTAACATTTCCATACATCCTTATATAAATGTATTGTGACACAAGCAGATAAGCTTACTACTACTTTGTGAGTAATCCCAAAATACACTTGCTGATGATATGTGAAGATCTCACTTGTTAACATGGCTCTTTTGTAATCTCGCTCTTAGAAGATAAGGACAGTGTTTTGTCTACTGGTGCTGGTAGCATTAAGCTTTTAAAGTGCTTAGTAATCTGGAACCGCAACCACTGTGCCCTCATAATCCCAAATATAACTTGTTTATACCACCAGCCTCTCGCATAACTATACTGTAAACTAAAAAAAAACAAAAAACTTTTCTGTGAAGGGACATCCCTATTGCCATCCAGACATGCAGAAGATTTTATGTGTGATTCTTTGTATAAAAATGGTTTATGAAAAGTCAAGCCATGCATATAAAACCAGCTGCCTGTATCTCTTTGGATCTGTTTATCATTGGGACTACAGTTTTCACTAAAGGCAAACTTGGCATGAGCTTTTTTCTTTGTATGCTAAGATTTAATTGCCCAGGGTTTCTCATAGCCTTGCATCAAGGTTGGGATGGAGAAATCTAGGAGTCAATCAGCTGATGCTCCTATAAAAATAGAGTTTTCTTTTATTTTGTCTTTAGTAATATATAATACAGATATACATCAGTACTTGATAGGGATATTAACTGTTACTGTCTTGTTGCTGTCTAGGTTATCCCTGTGGAAAAATTGGTAAAAGGACGATTCCAAGATAACCTGGATTTTATTCAGTGGTTTAAGAAATTCTTTGATGCTAACTACGATGGGAAGGAGTATGACCCCATGGAAGCTAGACAAGGACAAGATGCCCTCCCACCTCCAGATCCTGGTGAACAAATCTTTAACCTGCCAAAAAAGTCTCATCATGCCAACTCTCCCACAGCAGGTAAGACCGAGATCAAAAGAAAAACCTTTTTTCAGATAGTCATCTTTACAGAGAAATACTTTTTGTCAAAGATCAGAAGAGCTGGGCTTTATTATAATAAAGTATTGGATCTAAATATGGGAGATTTACAAGGAAGAGTTTTGTGGCAGTCTGTACTTAGACACTCAGTGGTACGGTATTTGCATAAAACATTTTTTTTGGCAATTTTGTTTTCTTGCCTTCAGGCCTGGATTTGCATGTAAGCATCATTGTCTGAAGAATGTATATTGCTAGAAGCACAGTCCCTCCTTGAAATGAATGGAATTGAGTTTTGGCATCCCCCTCCGTAGATTGTCATGTTATAGCACATATGACTTGACCCTGAAATGACCATTCTTCAGTATGTAGAGCTGGCAGCTAACATGTTTCTTTAAATGACTATCTTCTATATGTATGCGTACAATATTGTGTGCCAAGGCATTATGAGAGTCATTATCTTTATTAATATAGACAACTTCAGTCAACGTCACATTCATGCTTATGACGTTGACCAGCATGTAATGGTGACTTTTTAGAATAGACCTAGCACTTGCAATCATTCAAGGTCATGTGTATCTGTATAGATCTGTATATATGCATGTTTAATATTTCTCTAAATGATTGTATCAGAATAGATCTAGCACTTGCAATCATTTGAGGTCGTATGTATATATACATATCTGTATATATGCATATTTAATATTGTTGTAAATAATTATGAGTAGAGTTTGTATCTAAATGGTCCAATAAATACAATAATACAATGTCAAAGCTGAACTTGAATTTGGCTTGGTATCAGCCACTTATAATCCCCTGTACAGCAAGGGGTGCTGTAACACTCATGTGCTAACAATCAGGTGCCCTGCCACACAGGGCATGTCTGTGTGATGGGACTGTGTAAATCCCAGAACAGGAGGAGAAGAACTACAAATCCTTTGGCAGGTAACCCAGCTCTCATCTTATGCCATCTTAAGTACATATCAATTTGCATCAAATGAAAGCAAGAGAAATTAATCCTTTACCTTATACTTGTTCTGGGTCAGCCTTAAAGAAGAACTCCACGTAAAAACATGTTTACCTTTGCAGTGGGGCTTCCTCCTGCACTGCAAGGGTTAAGTGCTTTTTTGTTCTGGCACCTCCTTTGCTGCTACGATGGTATGTCTCGCTGCGTTCTCACACCCTATACACTGTGTATAGAACATTATGACTCAAGGATCCTTAGACCGCAGCAGCGGAGGGAGAGACGCTGGAAAGACCGGTCTAAAGGTGCCCATTCACCTGCCGATTATCGTACAATAATCGCGGGAAATCCCGCGATCGTACGATAATCGGCAGGTGTATGGAAGGCGTGCGACCGTTTCTACTGTACGGTCGCACGTTTTTTTGTCTCCCGAGCAGGATTGAAAACGCGCCGAGAATCGCACGATTGTCGACGGGTTAGTGGCGTTCTCGGGAGACAAATGCCGAACGGGCCGGTAACTAGCAAATTCAGAAGGAAGGGAGGAAGATTTCTTTCATTTCATGACAAGTTTAAAGAATGTGCTACTTTATAGTAATGAATTATAGAAAATGATTAAGGTAATCATGTGTTGTAAAAACATTTTATAGATTCGCTAATTAGAAAGTCACTTTTATGTAACAAACATTTACAATGAATGAAACTGGGTGGGAGGGATTGCAGTAGATATGACTCCAGGTTTGAAAGCTATCCATTATTTGGAGCAAAAGAACCTGTTTTTTTAAGCTCTGATCTGGGTGTGAGATGTAATACTGCTGTCATGAATGTCACACTAGAATGAGGATAAAACAAGTGCAAGTTTGAAATGTTTGGCAGTAGGATTTTTTTTTTATTAAAGTAAAAATTGCAAAATTGTATTTCTCTAAGGGGTGTATGATAATCATTGTGGTGGAGATCTGAAGAGATAACTGTATATTCTAATATTAAATATATAGTGAAATCTCAGTCAAATTTATTTTTCTAGCTTTGCATAGACTGAGGCAGGTATAGAGCCTCACTGTTATTGCTGCCTGTAAGTTTGTTGGGCAGAATTCCTTATTATATTGTATCACCAGGGGAGAAATTAAGTAATAGACCATATCTAAAATATGTGTGTGCGCAGTGGCGGAACTATTGCCATAGCGACCCAGGCGGCTGCTATGGGGAGGGCCAGGACGAGGAACAAAGGGGTCCCCCTGATGCCGGGTGGGTCGCTATGGCATCTCAGGCTGCTGGCTGTAAGGAGGGACGTGACACTTTTCAGATCACTGACAACATGTCAGTGATCTGTGCAGCGGCGCATTCCTCCTCACAGCCGCTGCTGAGTCAGCGACAGCCAGCAACTGCGGAGGAGGAGGCTGGGCCAGGCGTCGGTAGTGGAGGAGGCGGGGCCCGGCAATGGCGGCGGAAGAGGAGGCGGGTCCTGCCAGCGACCGTGGAGTTATATATATATATATATATAATATGTGTGTGTATGTGTATGTGTATATATATATATATTAGTTTTGGCTGAGTAAAAGCACAGTAAAACGTGTTTATGTACCTCCGCTTTACTTAGTCGGGGTATGGCTCAGTTTGTCACCACACGAGATATATATTTTTAGTAGGACGGCATTAGTGGGGGATTTTGAGATGTTGGGAAAGAATACATAGTTCCACATACCTTTGTGTCTGAGGTAATCTTGCTTTCAGTATAAAAAGCATGCAGTCATGTGAACTGGAACTTGTCCAAATACAAAGTGCCTATCCGACAGCAGTTAATGTATTCTTATGCTTTGTACATTGCTGACCAGGACAGGATAAATCACCTCTGGGTATAACAAATCACTGGTTGTTTTTTTAAAATAGAATGACGACCTATTGTAATTGGCAGGCAAGAGAGAGATTTAATTCTATAACTCTATATGTACATTTTATCAGGAATGACAGTATGACATGAAACTGCATCAAGCCATGTAAGAGAAAATAATGACAAAGCTCATGGAAGAGAATAACCAGAACCACCCAACACATTACTTGCAAAGGTCAGCATTAAACATGAGGATGGAGTGCCGCATTGTTATGGATCAGCATATACTAAGAGCAGTATTACATTAGGGTTCGATGCCAGATCCATCATTCACCATGACATTCTAGATTCACACCATACTAGATCCTTCATTTCATAAGATGGTATAGCAAATTCAATAAATAATTTGTTGTGTTTGGATAACCATGTCTGTTTGTCATGTATGGACACTGCCAGACAATCCACACAGTCCTGATCCGGGTCTTGCAAAAGAACGCTAACTAATGCTTGGCCATGCACGCATCCATGTTTCACCCAATTAAAGTCAAAGTAAAGTGTCTTTAGAAAAAATTGCTGACTGTCAAGTTTTTTTTTTTTTATAGCAGAAGAGACTGTGTAGGTCTCTTCTGCCAAAAAAGCTCCTACTTGCCTGTCAGCTATTTTTTTTTTTCTTTCACAAGAATTTTATTGAGATGTCAGCTATTTTTAGATTTTTTTTCTGTATACTAAACCATGCATATGCAACTCGGTGCACTGACCCGACATGCCGAGATAAAGTAACTCCCGTGTACATGCACAGGAGTTATATCATGCTGGCCCAACCAATTAAGAGGCTGAAAACACCAAACCCAGAAGAAGAATTGGAGATCCTCCCATCATCTCTAAATTCATGCTGACACTGTCCTTCCTTCTAGAGGGTGGCTACTTTTGTTCCCCATGGTCCCTGTGTGTGTTGTAAATTAGCCACCGCTCCACGCTCACTCCTGTGATGGACTACAATCTCATGTTTAGGTTAATAATTTTTAGGGATGCATCGAAATTTCAGCCGTAGACAATGGCACTTTGGGCAAAATGCCGAAAGTGCCTTTTTTTGGCTGAAATTGCAGTGCATCCTAAGTTTCTCACCTCCCCCGCTGTGTCCCCTCTGAAACAGCACAGCGTGCAGTGTGGAGAAGAGAAACTGTCAGGAGGCCAAGCGGGGCCGTGTGTAGGCGGAGACAGCTGTCAAAGGAGGCAGAGGGGGAGGAGACAGCTGTCAAATTAGACTGAGCTCTCCTCCCTGTACCGCTTGCTCAGCCTCCTTGGAGAACCAATCCAGGATGGAGAGCTGTATACAAACATTAAGCTTCATCAGTGATCCCTGAATGTTTGCAAATAACTGGACATAGTATGAGTTACTATGTACCAGTTATGAATGAATAGGAAGTGATCTACATCACTTCCTGTTCATTCATAATTGTGTACATAGTAACTCACACTATATAAACAATTTATGAATGCACAGGAACACTCAGTACAGTATAGAGGATTCCTGTTCATTCAATACTGGGGCTAAAAAAAAAAGAAGAGATTGAGGACTCTGTGTCATGGGAGCGAGCTTGGAGCAGTTGCTACTTTACAACACACACAGAGACCATGGGGAACAAAAGTAGCCACCCCCCAGAAGGAAGGACAGTGTCAAAACCAACTTAGAGATGATTGATTTGAGGATCTACAGCTGAGTGATACACAAATAAGATACATTTTTGTTACTAGTTAAGGTACTTGAATGCATTTCTAAGATTTTACTCGAGTTTAGTGTACCTTTAATACATTATTGGGCAAGGGTTGTTTCTAAAACATATTGGTGTGTTTTTTTCTGCCATTCAGGTGAACAGATAAGGTTTACCAGTACACTGGTGTTGTGATAGCAACTTATCTGTGCTCCATGAGGGACAGGTAAATCCCTCGGCATCACTCCACCACCTCCACACTGGAGGTATGGAAAACCCCAGGACACACTGTTTTTATTTTAACTTGGATTAAAAAAAGGAAAAATATCCTAGCAAGGTTTTAATTATTCGCTCACCTCTTCATATTACTTGCTACAACATATTTGGTTATTAGTTTACACTGTGAATTAGTAGCTGTGTACCTCAATGGCACATTTGGGGTACATGGGAATAGATATTTAGAAGATGGAATGGGTGTACATTT